TATTAGGTTACTCAAACTTTTTTAGTCATAGTAAACTATTGCGTAACGCTGCTACAGAGCAGTTTACTGTAATAAATGTGACTTAAATACAAAAATCTTACAGGCCCAGGCCAGTGGACATTGCTACACAAGCAATCCCCTTCCAGGATAATTGCTCCTTCTACTATTTCAACTTCCCAAGGTCTCCTTTTCAACTCCTGTTAATTCCCACTTTACCACAGTGCATCCAGATCTCCAAAATGTGGATTAAAATTACTTTTTTTTTTTTCTTTTGCTTAGCCTCTTTTTCCACTCCACAAAGTGGAAATATTTTCAGAGTGGTTACTTATCCATTGCTTCACATCTTGGACAGCACCAATCACACAGCTGAAATTAAATAAGCTTAGAAACTGTGGAATAAGAAAAAGTTATTTTTCAAGACATAGTTTGCATTCCTGTACATTACTCTGAGTAACTTGTCAGCCTCCTCTACTTGTTAAAAACAAATACTGAAATACTCTTCATTAATATAACCCATAAAAAGAATCCCTGATTTCACGACCTGTGCCCTCTTACGTGGAAGCAGTCAGTGGGCATTTGCTGCTGCAGAATAGCAGGGCTCTGCTGGAACAGCGCATTCGACAAAGCTGGAGACAAAAATGCTTCTGGATACCAACAGAATCAGCTGTGGACTTTCCCAAACTGATGATAAAATGATATTTTTGATTACAGCATGAGAAACTGTCTGTACAGGGAAACCTATGTTGAAGTGTCACCGAGTGATATACGTTCAACGTAGCCTTTGTCAAACAACTTCCTCTGCTAAGAGTTATTGTGTCAGTCTTCAAAATGGCTTGCTCTTCTACCACCTTCTCCGACGGAAATGTGAAAAGTTCAGGTCACTTCCTTTCACAAAACATCTTGTCAAGGTTCCTGGCTCCAAGCTGACTGCCTCATGGGGAAAAGCTGCTTTCTAGAAGCTTAACAAATGGTGACTATTCTCTCATAATTCTGCCTCGATGAAATACGGAGGTCAGAGAAAGACAACAGTCATTTAAGAAAAAAAGTGTTATAAGGTGACTGCTTGGTTCAACAGCAGTTTAAAAGAATGCTAGAAGGCTAAATGCTATTCCAAGCACTCAGGAAAGCAAATTACTCTGTTCTAGCTGAGATTATGCCATCAGGTGATGACGACTGGAATAGACTGCTGTGACAAAAGCAAAGCCACTATCCCTTCTGCTGCAAGAACAAACAAAGAACAAGTTTTGCCTGAAGGCTGATCAAGAGCACATGATTAACGCCAAAAAACATACCCAAAGTGCAGCTTGCTGGAGCAAATATGCAGAGAATGCCAGTGACCAAACCCATCCACCCAAGCCCTTTACCTCATCTTAATCAAGTCACTGATTATCTTACACTAATCCTGATGAGCATCACAGGATTCAAGTTCTTCAAAGGAGTTTAATTCACTGTTTTCTTTCAAATATTTCTGTCTATCTGCACTTGTCTAAATATATTATAGCCACTAAATCACACAATCCATCATCCCTTTGTCACTGCTCTAGACAGAGAGGATCCTCTGAGAATATGCTTACAACATAAAGGTCACTTTGAAAGTTGACTGAAGACATGAATAAAAAAACCCAAAACATTTAGCTAAGCTGTTTGAGGAGATGAGGTTGCTATTATCTTTTACTGTTTGAAAATGTTTTTCAACTGCTTTTCAGCACTACCACGACATCACACGGCATTTTTAAATGGCACCTGCACAGCATATACAGAATCAAGGCCAAAATTCATCTTACTCCTTTAGCTATGAGAGCAAGTACTGCAGCCAGAGACTAAGGACCATCAGATACTTTGTAACCTGACCTATTTCTAAATGATGCTGTCACAGTGTGAAATGCGTGGTGGACATATTTTAGCCAGCAAAAGTCAGCAGAGTGCCAAAGGCTGCTAAATTTCCTGTTAAGGAATAAGAGCCTCTCCACACACATTTTCTGACACAATATATGATCATCTTTTTGTCAAAAAACAAGGGTTGAAAAATCATCTGGCATCATTTCCCAAGAAAAGTAAGGAAATAAAAGGAAATGAAAGAGCGAGTATACTAAGTGAGAACCTACCAGGCTGATGTGAGGCCAATCAGTTAACAGGGCTGCTGTAGCGGGCTGCAATTTCAGTTTTATGCTGAGGGTTTAAGCATCATGTAAAACTGAAGTTTGAAAATGTAAAAGTATGCAAGATAGACATCCTTATCTTAGGACGTAGTCATCCCTAATGGGTGTCACCCCTACATACCAATTAAGCACTGAAACAAGAATATCCCAAGAAAAGGTGAAAAATCAAGTGAAAATTTTGGACGAATATGCTTGAAATGGAAAGAAAAGGGTTTTCATCTACTTCATAGCTGTGTCTCAAGAGCACAGAGAATGACTAGAAACCTTTGAGCACAAATGTTACACATAATTATGGCTTGTGGCAGCCATCAGTGGAAACCCCCAGGCTCATTAACACGACTGCAAGTGGCTGAATCGCCAGACTTGGCGAGTTGTAGTGTCTGGCTGAGGTAGCTGTCACTGAGTAAATATGATGCCCTGGTCATTGCAAACACAAAATAAGGTACATTAGCATAAACCACTCAGGGAAACATAACTTGCTAAGTCCCTGCAACTTGGCCCTTTGACTATGTGAGTATACTCCGCCTCAGCTAGTACAGACAGTGCTAGACTTATAAACACAGTAAAATCAATATTTCCAATCAGCCAGCAGAAGCAATGGGCATAGGGGTTCGGTTACTATTTTTAGAGCTCAAATTCTACTTACTATATATATGTACGATTGCTAGTTTATGAAAGGCCACATCTTCCAGTACCTGGAAATAAACTTACTGATCAGAAGTGAAAATACCTGCTATAAGCTGCTGATAAATGTGAGTTGTTCGTTTCTCGCAGTATTAGAAGGGAGGTCAGCTAAAGAGCATACCTGATTTTCTACCCAGTCACTCAACTATATATTATTGTGTCTCAGAGTATAAGTTAAACTGTCTATGTCTGTCAAATACTATACGTGAATTTACAAATTTTTGTTTTGGTTGAACGATCCGGAGAAAATCCAAGAGATCAATTTTGCATAAAGTGTGAGATATCTACAGAGAAAACTACTACACCCACATCTCAGCTTGGTCATTTGCTTAATGAGGAAAAAAAAAAAAAAGGTATAATACCTGGAGAGAGTCTCTGAAAGAAGGAAAAAAAAGCAAAAGCAGTTGAAGTAGTAAACAGAGAAGCAGTTGAAGAAGGTAAAGAGAAAATATCAAAATTTCATCACAAATAAAGGATTTTCACTTCTTTTGTGTTCACAGCTTGTTTGCTTTAGTGCACAGTAATGCTACTTGACCTGTTAACTGGATTATGCCACTGAAAATCAAATGAAATGCACACAGAAAAAATGTTTGTAGCAGGTCACATCCAAATAATCCTCAGATCACATATCTACATGAAACTGGAAATAACCAAGGAGAATCTTTCCTCTACTCCACAAACCCTCTTTACAGCATATGTAAAGCTATTGCAATCAAGAATCAAAAGCAATTGCTACAGGGATTCTAACAAAAGTATCCCAATATTTTTAATTTATGGTCTAAATATGGTATGGCTATATACCAAAAACAAACAAAAATCTTCTCTTGTTATTTATATCTTCATGCACTTGGTTTCATTCCTTGTCTTTGAAACTAATGACATTTTAACCGAATAATCTTTCAAGATCAAATGTAAAATTCTAAATGAATACTTCTCCGACTCCCTTTATTTCCCCAATTAATTACTAGTCTGATTTTGCTTACACTGTTACCTATATGGGCTTTAAATATTTACTGTGGACAAGATCAAAATCAGCCCATTAGCCAGCTAGACACAGTCACGCCTCAGCAAAGAACAAGAGAGCAAACATAACACTGCCTATTTAAAGCAAAGAACAATAGTTAAGGAAAGGTGATGAATTACAGAATCTTTTACATCTTGATTTTGGACGCTCAAGAGAGTCTGCTAGAGCAGTTATAAACTTATCTTATTCATTATTTATATACATAACAATAGATCTCAAAAAACTGAATGCAGGTCTGCAGAAATTCTTATCCCTTTAGTACAGAAACTAAACAGAAGTTTACTTCAGTCTTTGCGACTTTGTTGCTATCCTCAGAAAGGCCAAAGCTCTCTCTGTGAGATGTGCATGAGTCCTGGAGCTACAGCACACAGAAATACAAACTGCCAACCAGAAACTACCCCTCGTTCCCAAGAATGCTGCATCCCACTGCTAAACGGACTGTGAGCAAGGGATGGCCAAAGGAGGAAGAGCTCCTCCCTGAACCGTGCCTGCAACACAGAGCACTGCAACACGGAAATTTTCAGTGAGAGAAATATTTCAATTCAATGAACCATTAAATACATTCTTTCATAAATAAATGCCTAGCATTTATATTTATACCTAGCATTCTGAATGAACATGGAGGTCTGTTTTCACTCAGTAACACTGCTGAAGAAAGGGCTACTACCATGTTTGAATTACCAGGTGAGAAACTTTTGCAAACCAGTCCAAACCAATCAGGTTCATCATCTTGCAAAATATAACAAACTCAAATCAAAAACATTCTTAACAATTGCTTATTTCGGGCTATAAAGCCTTAATGCACATACTTAAAATAACTTCTCAGAGCTTGTTCTTTTACACCTCTCAAGCTACTTAACCATCCTTAGAAAAAATGCACAAATACGCGACAAAGTCACACAATCTTTATGCTTTCCCAACATGTCTAAACCATACTTATTTACTGATTAGCAACATTTCTGAATATAAGTATAGAAGTTTATAGGTTTGCATGTTTGACCTGAATACCAAGCTACTGTATATATTATAAAAACAAATGTATAACTGTTAACAAACAGCATAAGCACAAGAAAACATAGCACAATAAAAAAAAAAAAAAATCTCCAGGATAAAATAGTGATATGAAATACTTACTATTTATATGTTTCTGAACGAATATATTCAAAAACATGAGATACTCCAAGCTGGAACTGGTCAGCAATAGGGGTAACCCAAGGATTATTTTCTGCTTTGAAGACTTGCTTTTGTCCCGTCAAATCCAAATTACCTGAAACAGATTAAACAAAAAGATATATGAAAAGAACAGTCTTATCTTAAGGAAAGTCTTTACAGTGAAAAAGAAACCTTTAATTCCTTCAAAGAGTACAACCATAATCAAAGCAGATACTTTAGGTTTAATGGAGAGGAAAAGGAGGACACAGTAGTTCCCATCATGACGGATACAGAGCCAAGTTCCACCCTGTTCATCTCAGTGCACAGCGGGATGGAATTTGGCCCGCTGTGTATAATATTTATTCATTCAGTTAGTCCTAGGCAGGGCTTCAAAATGCAGAGTGCTGAGCTGCCTATCTGCATGGAAGCAAATTCACTTAGCACTGACACAATAACTGAGTTAAAACTTGGGACCCTTTGATTGTTCTTGCAATGTGTCAGTTTTATCTAACCTATGATAGAAAGGACTTAGAAGATACAGATTCTTTTTTCCCCCTTTTTTTTTTTTTGATCCCCTTTTAAGATTACCACTCAAAAACAAAACAGTACAAGTTCTGCTGAAATTCGTTCTGTCCGTGGATACAACAGACTAAATTCCAGGAGGGTTTTAGACATTTAAAGAAATACTCCATTTGTCTAATTCAAAATAAGACACCTGTGCTACCATTTTACATTTATGTTTGTGAATGTAGAAAGCCCCAGACCACACTCCACAACAAGCAAATGTTTTAAATGTTCATAAATAAAAGATGGGGAAAGAATAGCAAAATCACAAGATTGTGATCCAGACCCAATCAAGCTGGTAGAGAAGCCTTAAATCAATCTGATGTTTTTCAATTTTAAAGCATTGGTATAGTGGCATACGCACACGTGTGCTGTGGGTGCTTCTGCAAGCCATTTGGGTTACATTTCCCCACGCTCTGCATTAGGGTCATTAAATCCTTAAGGTGTTTCTCCCTGTAAAAAGGGTTAACACCACCAGAGCAAAGCAAGACCATTCCATTGCATGGGAACGTCGCGCACCTCACGCTGGCCTCTCAGCAAGCCCCCGTTACCTCAGCAAGCTCCTGCGTCGGCTGCCTGCGGGGCTCCCCGGCGCCAGCGCCACGCGGGGAGGCCCTCGCCCCGCTCCAGCGCGCCTCCTTTGGAGCCGCACACCCACCGCCTTCATTAGCAGACCCAGCAGCCCCGTTCTAACAAGGATCAGGATTAAGCACTGTGACAGAAAGGACCTAATAAGCTCAAAACTGCTGTGTCTAAACGTACGGCGGGCAGCTCGAGACGCAGGCTCGCACCGCTCGCTCTTCAGCTTTACGGCGCAGGCCGCTGGGGACGCAAGCTGGCTCTGTCATTAGCAGTCGCCCTCTGACCGACGCTGCCCTGAAGATCATGTATCACTCAGAGGCTTATTTTGCAACTGCAAATTGGATTTTCCATTTTACTACCTGCAAAAGAACCGCCATACACGTCTTCCCTAAGCTACCAGCACTGTATGCATTCGTTTACAGATATAGCTCTAAGTACAACCAGTATATACAGCAAACACAAATAGTTAAATCCAGGCAGACCAACTTGACTCCCCTCCGCAGCAATCAAATTCAATGCTGCCTATAGAAATAAGTTACACATTCTCCAAGTCTCAATTTTCTTCAGAAATTTGCAGTGCAGGGAATGCTGCTGCCTTATGTTCTGCATCTCCACAACATGGTGTGCCCATTTCCAAGCCTAAATATCACACGGTCGATTTAAATTTAATTAATTGAAAGAAAGATTCTTCTACTGAAGCCAAAACAATCTTAGAGCAGAAAGAGGACTGCTTAAGCGAAATGAACTGTAGAACTCCATGCCAAAATAATCACATTTTCCTCTGCCTTGTGTTTTTTCCCCCAAAAAGTTGAGAGCAGGTAGAGATTTCTTTTTACCTACAAAAAAAGGGGCAAGAAGATGGTAAAATTAATCTCATTAGGGAGAAAATTTGCAGTCCAAAAATCCAGAACTGAAGCTCAACTCCAGGTCCTGCCCTGAGGAATCACCTTTGCAGGTGGTCCTGGCAGCAACCGGCCTGGGAGCACTTTTCAAAGCTGTCTCCAGGTGGCAGCTGGAGCAACAGGTCAGCTGCCACCTCGCTGCTTGGGGGCTTTACTGAGGAATTTAATAAAGTGTTGTAGTGTGAAAAATAGCAACCCCTCTGTCTCCATGGCAAGCAGCAGCCAGAGAGCAGGTGCTCCTCAGCCGCAGAAGCCGCTGAGGCCTGCCTCCAGGAACAGAGGCAGGACAGGGCACCAGTCATCCCCGTGTTACACTGAGACGTCCAGCTGGAAATCCCAGGCGGCAGCAAAGGAAAGGAAAAGGCAGACATCAAACTAGCCAGAGACTATGGCTCTGGTATCACACTTGCTTGGGAGGGCACTTAGAGATGCGTCCCCTCAGACAGTCTCCTTGCCCAGGAGGTTTTCCACAGTAGCACTACAATGCAAAATAGTTATTCTCCATTAGAGCTGTGGCCCAGGGAAAGACACACCAGATGCACCTCTGTGGGGTACTGTCTAACAGCATTATCAGCAGAACACTGTCCCCAGGCCTTTAGGAAACTTATCCACTGTTCTGCTACACAGATCACATCAAATCCCTCTGATATTTTTAGCAAGCAAAACACAAACCTGACTCTAATAAAAAAAATCCAGGACTGAAGATTCAATTGCAAAACATATTTGGGTTGGAGATTGCATTGAGCATTGCTGGTTTGTTCTTTCTGTGCATGTCATCTTATTAAAAAAAATACCTGTTTATCATCATTAAAATTTGTATCTGGTAGACTACAATTATGTTTCTTCATAATGGACTTAAGGTTCTTCCTATTTTGGCAATATAAAACAGATCAACTCCACTGAAATCAACCCAGTCACACACACATCTTTGGTAAGGGAGGAAGAGAAGGTTACATTTAAGTGTAATCAGCATAGTCGCTTTCCTGGTTCCCCAAAATATTTTTTCAATGTGACTTTTCAATTGATTTTGAGAGCTTCTAAAACTCCTCCTAAAATTAAATATTCAAGATCATATATCACAGAAAATTATCCTAAAATGATTAAACAAATAATTTCTAAGATCCTAAAATATAATTCTTTACTGCTTTGTATCTTGAACAAACATAGACTTACATGTAAAATGAATACAAAATGGACACAAAGTACTATTAGACTGGACAACAGTATTTTAAGTTTAAAAGACAGTTTGGAAAAGAGAACAGTAGGAATAAATACATGTCTAATAGCTGACTGCTATGGAAGATCTGCACAGAATGGCCCAAAAAATTAATGATCCTTACTAAAGGGAGTCAGATATATGTTAGAATTCTCCCAGCACTTATGGAATGTAAAAAAGATCTTGAGCCATTAAAATGGCCCAAATCAGTGTGACTGAACTTCTGTACTTAACTACTTGAAAAGTAAATTGTTTCTATGCCCAACTTTACAGACTTGAAGAATTTAGGTCTGCCGCCTAAATCTATTGCTAGCTACAGAGAGTACACCTAAACCAAACCAAACACTTGAAAATTCAAGAACAACATCAAAGCATACATATTTTTAATTTGCGTCTTATTCAGGCTTTCATTCCTCACGTTGACTAAATTACCATTTATCACTGCTTGTATTCGGGGATCCCATAGCCATGAGTGAAGAGAAGGGACATTGCTTCAAATGACAGTCAGCAGACCTCATCCTCAGGGATGCAAAAGGAAGAAGGGAGCTACAGTCATCTCTGCATCTCCCTCAGTAAATCTGTAGAATCATATTATCATAGAAAGGTTAAGATTGGAAGGGACCTTTAGAGATCATCTAGTCCAACCCCCCTGTACACGCAGGGTCACCTAGAGCACTTTACACAGCATCCCACATTCATTTTAAAATACGTTAGTTAGTATTTCTTGTTATTTTCCTTTGGTGTTGTTGAAATAGAAGTGGTCTGTATGGACATTCCTATCTTGCTCAACTGCTTGCAAAGGTCAGGAGAGCTCCTAAAAGCAGGTAAGATGCTGCTACCGTAGTCAAAACTGTCTTCTTTGCAGAAAGTAAGTGCCACAGCTAGCGATACTGCTACCTATCACTCGGACCAAGGGCACTCACATTTCCTAGGCTGCTCCTCTGTATTAGAGCCAGACTTTAAGCAGCTCTCATATGCAACAAAGTCCCTCATCTTCTTATGACATATGGCATACTAATGTATAATACATACCTAACATATGTATACTTAACATACAGCGAGACATGACTGGTACGATCAGGGTCCATAGGCACCGCATAGGCAGTAAAAAAAAAAAAAAAAAAAAAGTTAACTGAATAAACACCAAAATGGTTTGTCCTTTCCACTCTAACACTCCTTGGCAACACTTCAAATACTCCAAAATACTAAAAGCTGAAATAAAGTAATTAAACAATTGTGACAATTGAGAAGTGAGTCTTGGCAATCAGCACATGAAACCTGGTATGCCAGATCATCACTTCTTCGAAATGGTTTAAATCCACCCCTAGTGAAGCATCACTATCATCAATGGAGTTCCAGCTGAAACAATTTTGGCCCGTATATCATTAAGTTGCACAGTTCTATTTCCTGTTGATTCTCTGTCTCATCTTTCAGCCTACACACTACCACACTGACCTCAAGGAGAGTCCTCAGGCAGTAATATATCCATTTTTCTTACTGATTCCTCTTAAGACTGCAATTTAAATGTTCTTTCCATTTACAGCAGAAAGGTCTTACTCTCTCACCATTGTACATAAGAACAAGGGGAATGAAATTAATTTTATTTTTTTATTTAGATATAAATACCCTTGAATCCTCTTTTATTAAAGGCCGAGTAAGGAATCAATCCACTACACTAAATTTAAACTTAAGTTATATGTAAAAATATGTCTGCCTTGGCTTGTTGAAGATTTGCTTTACACTCCAGGGCTTATAATTTTTATTGCTTTTGTGCCATGTGCTTTGTCTCCACAGAGAGAGATGGATTGGTATAAGCCTGTGGGTGGAATAAATGTCATGTCTGTTATGTCA